CCGGGCTGGGGATTCGAACCTGCCACCTTAGGTGTACGTGGCTGGCGCCTTAGCCGGTTGAGCTATAGGCGCCGAGCTGAAACAGAAAATTTCAAATTATTTATTTAATTAATTCAACTTAAGATGCCATTAAAGAGCACCCTAACAGAGCTGGGTGCGGTGGCTCATGCCTATAACGCTAGCACTCTGGGAGGCTGAGGTGGGTGGATTGCTTGAGCTCAGGAGTTTGAGACCAGCCTGAGCCAGAGCAAGACACCATCTCAAAACAAAAACAAAAACAAATAACTAGGGCAGTGCCCATAGCTCAGTGGTTAGAGTGCCGGCCACATACACCGAGGCTGGCGGGTTCAAACCCGGCCCAGGCCGGCTAAAACAACAATAACAACTGCAACAGAAAAAAAATAGCCAGGCATTGTGGTATGCGCCTGTAGTCCCAGTTAGAGGGAACTGAGGCAAGAGAATCAGGAAGGCTTGATTGAACCTTGGGAGGCTGAGGCAAAAGAATCGCTTAAGCCCAAGAGTTTGAGGTTGCTGTGAGCTGTGATGCAACAGCACTCTACCAAGGACGACATAATGAGACTCTCAAAAAACAAAACTAGGCAGGCATGGTGGCAGATACCTGTAGTCCCAGCTACTCAGGAGGCTAAGGCAGGAGGATTGCTTGAGCCCAAGAGTTTGAGGTTGCTGTGAGCTATGACACCACTGCACTCTACCCAGGGTGACAAAGTAAGACTCTGTCTCTAAAAAAAAAAAAGAAAGAAAGAAAACTTGTTAACAGAAATAGCTTTTTTGTATGAAAAGAATCTTCAAAAACTTTGAGAGAAGACCAGCATTAGTCAATACATTTGCGTGTCTCTTTAATGTCTGGCTTAACAGATGACAGGTCCATTCTCATGTCTGCTTCTGCATTCATTCTGCTGTGATAGCACGTGTCATGGAAACCACACGCTGAGAAATGCCACTGTGCCCTCAGGAGAGATTAAGAGTGAAAAGGGGAAATAAAGTCTTAACTATTGTGAAAAGAATTTTGGCCTCAAAGATCCCCCTCTCCCAAAATAGGATCTCAGGGACTCCCAGAGGGGTCTTCGGACCCCCTTTCTTTGGCTGTTGTAAAGAAAGATGTGATGGGTGGTGAGTTCTCCAGCCCCTTGCTCTTACCCTTGCATCCCCTGCTCAGACCACAGCTTCCAGTCTGTCCACGCCAAACCTTTTTCTTTCTTTCTTTTTTTTTAGAGATAGAGTCTTTGTCACCCTTGGTAGAGTGCAGTGACATTTTAGAGTGCACTTTATCGCCCTGCGTAGAGTGCAATGACATCACAGCTCATGGCAACCTCCAATTCCTGGGCTTAGGCAATTCTCTTGCCTCAGCCTCCCAAGTAGCTGGCCCCGCCACAACACCTGGCTATTTTTTTGTTTTGCAGTTTGGCCGGGGCGGGTTTGAACCTGCCACTCTCGGCATATGAGGCCAGCACCCTACCCACTGAGCAACAGGTGCTGCCCCATCCACTGTAAATTTTAAGTTTTCTTAATCCCTCTCAACCTTGATTTGCCTCTACAGGAGTACCTCAGAGTGCCTAAATTTATTTTAAAATACCCCACTTCCTTCTCATAGGATATGAGCTTACTGACAGAAATACACATGACCAAGTAGCCTGAAAAATTAAAAATAAAGACCTGGGAAGGTATCAGTTAAAATCAGAGATGAAGGCTGGAGAGACAAATACAGAGCTGTGGATCCTTGGATTATAAGGGCCTTCAATAGGGCAGGTAATTGGCTCTGAGCTTCCTGGTAAAAGAATGAAAAATCACACATAGTTTTTGTGCTAAAATAAGAAAATATAAGGTTTTCACAGAAGGAGCATGCTTTTCTCAGGCACTTTGTTTGAACTGAAATTTCTCAGTGAGGCTTCAGAGACATTCGGTAAATAATGTTCTCAACAACCAGACACAGATACAGGCTTCATAAGGCAGCTGCTTACGCAGAATAGGAACGTGGTACACTTAGGAAATGTGATTCTGTGAAAGGCCAAGAAAATTTGAATTCAATATACTGTGTCCTGAAAGGTTTGGCATCATCCCTGATAAAAGCCAGACTATCTAGAACAGAACTTTCCAAACTGTGCTTGGCAAATCTGAGAATCTTGAGATACTGTTTCCTATGGAGGAACAAGAGGACTCCACGAACTAATACATTTAGAAGACTCTAAGTTAAATAAATTAAGGTTTTTTCTAAAAACTAGGACTTGGTGGACTCTTTGCTGTGGTTCTGTGCCTGAGATTCTGTAAGTAGGTAGCATTTCTGAAACTTACTTGACCACAGAACTCTTTTAGCGGTATGTGATTACTTACAGGAACAAAGTTAGGGAAATGCTGAACTTGGCTTCTCTATAATCTTGGGAAAGTTGCTTTAATTCATGGACTCTGTTTTCTCACTTGCCAAAATAGGAATTTTAGCAGCAATAGTAGCAGTGGCAGCAGCTGACAGCTGGATGAAATCTATGTAGTCCCATCTCCAGAGACAGTCTTGCATAGGAGAGGTTTTAGAACTGAAATCTTAGAAGCCATTCAGATCAATCTTTCCTTCCTCTTCCCTTTTTAAAAATGAGGAAACTGAGTCCCAGAAAGATGATGTGATTTCCCCAGAGCTGCATCCAGAGCACAGCAAAGTCTCTTGACTATGCACACAGCACCTTTCCTGTGTCACACTGATTGCTCTTTGAAACAGAAACCAGCAAATAGAATTTAAACCTCCATACAACTCACGATGAGGATCAGTGCAGGGTTTCAAGTGTTTGAGCACCTCAATGGCTATGAAGCTGAGGGGACTGCCTGGCCCCAACGCTTACTAGGCCCCACCTGCCAAATGCTTTTGTGCCTGTGATCTGCCGGCAGGCCTCTTTCTTTTCCCTTCTCTTAGCCTGTCAGCCTGCACTTCATACTATCAATGTGTCTGCCTCTGAGAGTTTCCACCTACACTCCATTTATTGCTTTTTTTTTTTTTTTTTTTTGGGCCAGGGCCAGGCTTGAACCCACCACCTCTGGTATATGGAGCTGGCACCCTACTCCTTGAGCCACAGGCGCCACTCCCATTTATTGCTTTTAATATGCAATACCTGATACTCAATTTCACCTTGAAAAATTGTCCAATGAGGGACAGTAACCTCATCAAAAAGTCAGTCACGGGCAGTGCCTGTGGCTCAGTGAGTAGGGCGCCAGTCCCATATACTGAGGGTGGCGGATCTGAACCTGGCCTGGCCAAACTACAGCGAAAAAATAGTCAGGCATTGTGGTGGGTGTCTGTAGTCCCAGCTACTCGGGAGGCTGAAGCAAGAGAATCACCTTCACCCAGGAGTTGGAGATTGCTATGAGCTGTAATGCCATAGCACTCTACCATGGGCAACAAAATGAAGCTCTGTCTAAAAAAAAAAAAAAAAAGTCAGTCACAGGAAAGCAAAGAACTCCTTACAAGTTAATGCCTGAAATGCACCATCTCAGGATGGGACGAGCCTCTACCTGGATGGGGTTAACTCTGGTCCCATGCCTTTTCAGATCCAGCAGTACATACAAGACCTGTCAGACATCTGGGCTGAGGTGAAGAAAAAGGAACAGCAGCAAATCCGGGTTTAAGGAGGCGTCATGGTTCCAGAATGTTCTGAGATGGAGGTTGTGAGAGATTAAGCTCCTGGGGAGTTTAGGCAGCCCAGTCCAGCCACTGAGGGCCCCGGTGCTTTTCTACCGGTGAATGACTACCTGGTTATTTTCTCCTGGAGCCTCAGTCTATCCCTGAAATCATTATATTTTAAACAAATTTGTTCTTAAGTTCTCTTTTTTTGGTGGTTTATTCATGGGAGAGAGCATCAGTGAGGGGAGAACTCCCACAAGCTCTCCCTCTCAAGGCCGGTCACTAGGCTGCCTAGAGGCTAGAAAGCACATGTCAGGTGTGGTGTCACCTGGGCTTTGGGCTTGCACACAATAAGCATTCAGGTGAGCAACAAGCCAGCAGGGTAAATACAGAGGACCCTTCTCTATCACCTCAAATATATATGTATACTTGAGGTATTTCTAATTAGGATGCAAAAACCCACTAGAAACTATGAAGGCAGCTCCCCAAGTCGAGTTCCAAAGGTGCTGAGTTGAAAACTCTTCCCTGACCTCGGGAGCATCCCCTATCCACTTTGTACCTTAAAGCATGCAATACAGTGTCAGCTATGGCCATGTAGGAACAGCCAGAAGGCTGCCCCATAACTAGTGAGGGACCACTTGCATGTCATGTGACAGCCTCAAAACTTAGGGGCATCTCAGCAGCTGGAAAGCTGGATTAAAACCAACAAAATTAAACTGAATAGAGGTAAACATAAAGTCTCAAACTCAGGTTCAAACACCCAATTGCATGTTTCGAAGGCAAAAGTCAAGTCAGTGACTTGGGGACAGCAGCACTATGAACATGCACTTCATTTACCTCGGCCTCATGAAAGCCCTGTGTCTGTCTCACAGAGCAGGACACCTGTTCAGGGTCACCTAGCCACAGGAAGACAGGGCTAGGATTCACCCTTGGGTCTGCTCGTCCTTGGGCTGTGTGTGCCCCCTAGGCCAGGCTGCTTCTCAGCAGGCCATGGCACTGTGCTATCCCCTCCAAAGCAAAGCTCCTGTCCCAAGAGCAGGCTTCAACAAGGCCATGTTTCCTACCTGGCCCTGTCATCCTGCTGAGATTCCCACTCAGGAAAGGCCCTGCTGCAACTGTCCTGCTGAGTTCCTAGCCCAGGCTGTAGTGACCATACACCTTTACACACAATACCTTACAACAGGAGTTCTGGGGGGTGTCCCTGGACAGCAGTATCTGTACCACCTGGGAACTTGGTAGATGCAAATTCTTAGGCCCTACTCCAGAGCTGAGAATCAGACACTCCAGGGATGGATCTAGCAGTCTGGGTTTTTTTTGGGGGGGGGGCGGGGGCAGTGCCTCAAGCTATCCCCCTGGGTAGAGTACTGTGGCTTCACAGCTCACAGCAACCTCCAACTCCTGGGTCAAGTGAGTCTCCTGCCCCAGCCTCCCAAGTAGCTGGGACCACAGGCGCCCACCACAACACCTGGCTATTTTTTGGTTGCAGCCGTCATTGTTGTTTGGCAGGCCTGGGCTGGATTTGAACCTGCTACCTTAGGTGTATGTGGCTGGCGCCTTAGCCACTTGAGCCACAGGCGCCGAGCCAGCAGTCTGGGTTTTAACCAGCCTTCCACATGGTGGGATTTGAGGATGGACAGAAACCCATGTCGGTTCTTGTGGCTTCTGAACTTGGTGGTGCGAGTGTCCTGCAGAATCCAGGATTCTTTGCTGTGGAGCTGAGCACACGTGTCTGGTCCAAGGGACAGAGCAGTGAAGGAGGACCCGGGGTGGGCAGGGTAGTGCAGGCCCCACACCAGGGGGGCAAGTGGGCAGAGCAGTGACAGACTGGAGGCCACTTCCCTTCTGACTCATTCCCCCACGGGAAGCTCTCTGGGACCCACTCTAACAGGAAACACCCCAGAAAAGGAATTGTGGAGAATATAGAAATAGCTTCCCCTGAGATGAGCCTCCTGGGCTGGGTCCTGGGAGGCAGAAGAAGGGGCAGAAAAGACCATTTCTCCTGCTCTCTAATAAACATATCCACCCCCACCCCAATTTCCTGCTGTCTCTGTGAGGTGGCATTGGAGAAGCCCAGCCTGTCAGGACTGAATGTGCTTCCCACTTGGGTGAGGCCCTACCCCGAGGCTCCGTGCCAGAAGCCAGAGGCCCTCTCTCTGCCTCCTTCCTCGCTCAGTCCTCCGGCTCCCCTGCATTGCAGCATCAGCTTTCCTGCTTGACTGAAATGGGGAATGGTGAAGGGTCACGCTCAGAACGCCTGTGATCACACATAAGCTCATCTAAACATACATGTGTTCACACACACATAACTCACCCTGATGTTGTTGCATTTTTCAAGTTTACAAAAGAGCCCACCCGGGGGCAGAAGAAATTCTGTGGGTCTAGGCAGATTTCTCGAATATAAGGGAAGCCACAAACCCACAAACTCATTTCCAAGCCCAGAGAAACGCGGAAAGAAAATCTAGAAGGTTCAGGGATTCTCTGGAGCCTGAGTGAGGGCTTCCCATTGTGGGGAGGGAGCAGTGGTCACAGACAGGCCCTTGCTCCTCCCCCACCCCAGCTGATGCTAACCCCCCTCGTTTCCCCCAGGATGGCCACTCTTGGGCCCTATATGTACATAAAGGAGCAGAGATTTCACAGTCAGAAGAGATTTGGGCTCCAGATGCACCCAATCATGTTCTAAGAACAAGAAGATGAAGTTCAGGACCTGATCAGAGTTTTCCCAGCAAGCAAAAACTCAAGCTCATGAGAGAAGAAATAACTGGTTCCAGAAATGAATGGTTCTCATCAGCAAAGGCAGGAAGTAGGGCTCTGGGTGTTTTACAGATAAAGGGAAGGAAGAGGAGGGGAGCCCTTCAGGGGCTTGCTGTCAGGGCCAGGGCACCTGCTCCCCAACAAAACTGTAAGCTCTTCCTGGTGGAAGGGCATGGAGGAAGCAGGGGGGTCGGGGGAGGAGGGCCTCAGGTGTGAAAAGGCTGAGCCTAGAAGCAGCCAGGTGGGCAGACAGCCGTATGTCCGTCACAGTGCCATGCCACGCACACACAGCCACATGGCAATTGGAGACCAAAAGCTGCTGGAGAAGATGAGATTAGAATCAAGAACCAAAGCTCCAGAGAGATCTCAGTCTCTCTGGAGTAGCCAAAGAGCCCCTGCTTCTGTAGGGCTAATTATCAGTCCTTGGGATCATACCCCCTTTGTGATTTCACCCTCAAAACCCTTTGCCCAGGCTCCGGGCTGGAGTCCCACATCTATAGACAAGGCTTCCTGACAGCAAGAGGGACACTGGAACCTTCTATTTTCTCCTTCCATGCCCTCTTAGGTTTGGTCACTTGGACCCCTGAGTGAACATCTCTGCTCCAGGACTTTCAATCACAGCGATACTTACCACACGTCCCCTATGTGCATCTCAGGGTGATCTGGCCAGATCCCGCCCCAGGCTCTCTCTCTTCTCCTGGGAGATCAGAGCTCTCTGAGAACTGTGATGAGAGCTGAGTGTTGGGTGCAGGCTTCACCACGGCTTCCCCCTTGCAGTGGCCCAAGCCTCCCTTTAGCTTTAACTTTTGAAACCCCAGGGAGAAGCTTCTAGCATAGACCATGGAGTCAAAAATTTAAGTACCTGGGTGGCGCCTGTGGCTCAGAGGAGTAGGGTGCTGTTGGCCCCTTATACCAGAGGTGGTGGGTTCCAACCCAGCCCCAGCAAAAAACTGCAAAAAAAAAAAAAAAAAAAAAAAAAAAAAATATATATATATATATATATATATGCACCAGACTTGGAGGCAACCTGAGTGTGATACCACCCTTGGTATCTGTTAAAAACAGCAGGAGATTCCCAGACTGACTGAAGCTCCTATTTATTGGCTTCCTAGAAGTTTATAAGCCCCAGGGGAACTCTGTCTTAATGACAGAGACTATGACTATTAGGTCAGGTGCAAATCTGAAAGATTTTTCTCAGCCATTCCTCCTTCTCTGCCTTTAACCACTTGGTCATACTCCCTTCTTGCTCTTGGGGGAGGGGGAACAAATAGCCATTTTAGGAATTTTATGAGGAAAGATCTGGATCTAGAAACATCAGAATGAGAGCCAGTAGCCCAGTGATGAGACACTGGTCATATGAGTTTTCTAGTCTGTATAACAAATTTCTGAAAACTTGGAGTCCTGAACTAATACCCACTTATTATCTTACAGGAGTAGGTCAGAGGTCCCTGTGGGCTGGACTGGATTCCAGCTCAGGGTCTCACGAGGCTGACATCATGTCATCACCTAGTTGGGCTTTCACCTGGAGGCTCAGGGGAAGAATCCACTCCCCAGCTCCCTCAGGTTGCTGACACCATCCATTCCCACTCTGTAGGTCTAAGTCCTTTATCCTTGCTGGGGGCTGCTCTCTGCTCCTAGAGGCCACCTGCATTCCTCATCACACAGCCCGTTCCATCTGCAAAGCCAGCAACAGCACTCAGGGTCCTGGTCAGACATTGAACGTGACCCGCCTCCAGTACCAGCCAGAGAAACTCTCCTTTTAGAGTTCATATGATTAGATTAAACCCACCCAGATAATCTTCCTTTTATCCTAACACCAGGGGGTGAAGGTCGTGGCAGCTATCTTAAAACTCTGTGTACCACACTGATGGAAAAAGGATGTCATGAGAAGGAAGTGGAGGGTGGCAAGGAGGGAGTATGACAAAGTGGTTAAAGGCAGAGAAGGAGGAATGGCTGGGAAAAATCTTTCAGATTTGCACCTGATCTAATATTCATAGTCTCTGTCATGAAGACAGAGTTCCCCTGGGGCTTATAAACTTCTAGGGAGCCAATAAATAGGAGCTTCAGTCAGTCTGGGAATCTCCTGCTGTTTTTAACAGAACTTTTATATACAAGCATATATAGATTTTTCATGCCTGAGGTGGGTGAGAGTGGGTGTGGGGGATGGACAGAGGAAAGTCCATAGCTTTCAGCAAATTCTCCCAGGACTCTCAGTCCAATACAGTTAAGAGCTACTGCTTTTTCTAAGCTAATAGCTTTATTGAGATATGATTCGTATACCATACAATTCACTCATTTAAAGGATATAATTCAGTGGTTTTAGTATATTTACAGAGTTGTGCAACCATCAGCACAATCAATTTCAGAACTTTTCTGTTACCCCCCTTCCCACCCATAAGAAACCCATTGATTTACTTTCTATTTCTATGAATTTA